CCTTTAATTCATATTCAAGTCTGAATTTCTTAACAAGAATAAGAATGTAAGGGTCTTCATATGTGACAATTACTGGTTTTAAATTTTTATGCCCCGAGGTTGTATCTCTACTTTTGTTTTCTTTTTAAAAGGAAATTGGCGCAACTGTTCCAATTAACATTAACTTGATGTATTCATCTATCAGCACTCTACTTCTTACTGCTAATAAAAATAACAGTAAACTTGATTTAAAATCACTTGAGGCTCTTAGATGAAAGGGATTTTGTAAATTAACATGTGTGTTTCTAGAATTAATGTTACGAAATGTAACAGCTTATGTAAGCCTGAGACTTCTTGCACTTAATTATTTTGAAACTTCATGCTTCAACTTACAATTAAGCTTAACTTAATAAAATCAAGTTTTAATAGAATCTTTTATTGTCATGTAGAAACCATTGGACTATGTACTTTTATAGTTAGTTATGGTGGATGGTCCAAAAACATGATATTTCCACATTGAAAATTGTTTTAAGGCAAGGACCTGACAATTATTTCTTCAAGCTAACATGAACAAAAAGAGATGATTTCTTGTACATTCGGCCAGATGCTAGCATGTAGCATCCATGATCCAAGCATGTATCATTGAGCTGTTTAGGTTTTTTTTCAATATTTTTTTCTTATATATCTTTGTCTGTCATTGTTTTGTTCTGTCTGCATGTAATGTGTCATCGTGTCTTAAAACATTGTTTTTAAACCATATTGATAAAATGGCATGTAATTCAAACAAAACAATATTCTCTTATTGTATATTCCCTTCCAGAAATGCAGCTGAAAGCGAGCAGAAAGTGAGAATGATGGAAAGCTTGGATGTCTGCTCTCCAAAATTTAGCTGCTCAAGAGCAGAAAGTGAGATTAAGCAGCAGAAAACTCGCATGTTGTGTGATGTGTTACTGGATCAAGCAGTGTTACCTGGAGTGGGAAATATTATAAAAAATGAAGCACTATTTGACAGTGGCCTCCATCCAGCTATTAAAGTGAGCGAAATGTCTCAGGATTGTTTCTAATGACATCAAGTATTAGAAGTGTAAATATATAATGTTTTGTCATCTTCTTAAAACCTTCTTTTTTAAAAAAAATCTTATTTCTTAAGTTCTAAGACCTTAAGCTCAAGTTGGATCATTATAATCTCGCATATTTGTTATAGCACTTCGTAGGACCTCTTCCTGCTACTCTTACTGCTCTTATCTTCAAGACTAGACATATCCTTAGGGGCTGTTTCTGTTTCTTCCATACAGCGTGCTACTAGCTGGAAGAAAGTCTGTTGTTTACAAACTGGTCTGAAATTGTATAATCTGCAAAGCTAATGAAAATAACGTAAACAGTAACTGGAAGTCCACAACATAGATATTTTAACACAACTTGCATAGGACCAGTTTGTACAACTTCATAGGACCGGTCTGGATTTGAATTTTTTCTAGACTTGTGTGATGATACCCATTCTGAAGTCAATGGATATTCACTGCACTTGATGAAGATGTCTCTGTGTTCCCAGCATCTATTAATTTCTCAGACTTAAGTATTGCTGTAAAAAAGAGCCCTGTATATCCTGGAGTGCATTAAGAAGAGCGT